ACCAAAATGTTCATTGCAGCTCTATTTATAATAGCCAGGACATGGAAGCAACCTAAGAGTCCATCAACAGGTGAATGGATAAAGAAGATGTGGCACATATATACAATGGAATATTACTCAGCCATAAAAAGAAATGAAACTGAGTTATTTGTAGTGAGGTGGATGGACCTAGAGACTGTCATTCAGGGTGAAGTAAATCAGAAAGAGAAAAACAAATACTGTATGCTAACACATATATATGGAATCTAAAAAAAAAAAAAAAATGTTCACGAAGAACCTAGGGGCCAAACGGGAATAAAGATGTAGACTTACTAGAGAATGGACTTGAGGATATGGGGAGGGGGAAGGGTAAGCTGGGACAAAGTGAGAGAGCGGCATGGAAATATATACACTACCAAACGTAAAACAGATAGCTAGTGGGAAGCAGCCGCATAGGACAGGGAGATCAGCTCGGTGCTTTGTGACCATGTAGAGGGCTGGGATTGGGAGTGTGGGAGGGCGGGAGAAGCAAGAGGGAAGAGATATGGGGACATATGTATATGTATAACTGATTCACTTTGTTATAAAGCAGAAACTAACACATTATTGTAAATCAATTATACTCCAATAAAGACGTTTAAAAAAAAAAGTGTATTCTGTTGTTTTTGGATGGAATGTCCTATAAATATCAATTAAGTCCATCTTGTTTAATGTGTCATTTAAAGCTTCTGTTTCCTTATTTATTTTCATTTTGGATGATCTGTCCATTGGTGAAAGTGGGGTGTTAAAGTCCCCTACTATGATTCTGTTACTGTCAATTTCCCTTTTAAGGCTGTTAGCCTTTGCCTTAAGTATTGAGGTGCTCCTATGTTGGGTGCATAAATATTTACAATTGTTATATCTTCTTGGATTGATCCCTTGATCATTATGTAGTGTCCTTCTTTGTCTCTTGTAATAGTCTTTATTTTAAAGTCTATTTTTTTCTGATACGAGAATTGCTATTCCAGCTTTCTTTCGATTTCCATTTGCATGGAATATCTTTTCCCATCCCCTCATTTTCAGTCTGTATGTGTCCCTAGGTCTGAAGTGGGTCTCTTGTAATCAGCATATGTATGGGTCTTGTTTTTGTATCCATTCAGCCAGTCTATGTCTTTTGGTTGGAGCATTTTATCCATTTACATTTAAGGTAATTATCGATATGTATGTTCCTATTCCCATTTTCTTAATTGTTTTGGGTTTGTTTTTGTAGGTCTTTTCCTTCTCTTGTGTTTCCTGCCTAGAGAAGTTCCTTCAGCATTTGTTGTAAAGCTAGTTTGGTGTCGCTGAATTCTCTTAACTTTTGCTTGTCTGTATAAAGGTTTTAATTTCTCCATCGAATCTGAATGAGATCCTTGCTGGGTAGAGTAATCTTGGTTGTAAGTTTTTCCCTTTCATCACTTTAAATATGTCCTGCCACTCCCTTCTGGTTTACAGAGTTTCTGCTGAAAGATCAGTTGTTAACCTTATGGGGATTCCCTTGCATGTTATTTGTTGCTTTTCCCTTGCTGCTTTTAATATTTTTTCTTTGTATTTTTTAATATTTTTTCTTTGTATTTAATTTTTGATAGTTTGATTAATATGTGTCTTGGCATGTTTCTCCATGGATTTATCCTGTATGGGACTCTCTGTGCTTTTTGGACTTTCTTGACTATTTCCTTTCCCATGTTAGGGAAGTTTTCAACTATAATCTCTTCAAATATTTTCTCAGACCCTTTCTTTTTCTCTTCTTCTTCTGGGACCCCTATAATTCTAATGTTGGTGTGTTTAATGTTGTCCCAGAGGTCTCTGAGACTGACCTCAATTCTTTTCATTCTTTTTTCTTTATTCTGCTCTGCGGTAGTCATTTCCACTATTTTACCTTCCAGGTCACTTATCCGTTCTTCTGCCTCAGTTATTCTGCTATTGATTCCTTCTAGAGAACTTTTAATTTCATTTATTGTGTTGTTCATCATTGTTTGTTTCCTCTTTAGTTCTTCTAGGTCCTTGTTAAACGTTTCTTGTATTTTCTCCTTTCTATTTCCAAGATTTTAGATCATCTTTACTATAATTACTCTGAATTCTTTTTCAGGTAGACTGCCTATTTCCTCTTCATTTGTTTGGTCTGGTGGGTTTTTACTTTGCTCCTTCATCTGCTGCATATTTCTCTGTCTTCTCATTTTGTTTAACTTACTGTGTTTGGGGTCTCCTTTTTACAGGCTGCAGGTTCGTAGTTCCCGTTGTTTTTGGTGTCTGCCCCCAGTGGGTGAAGTTCCTTCAGTGGCTTGTGGAAGCTTCCTGGTGGAGGGGACTGGTGCCTGTGTTCTGGTGGATGGGGCTTGATCTTGTCTTTCTGGTGGGCAGGGCCACATTCGGTGCTGTGTTTTGGGGTGTTGTGAACTTAGTATGATTTTAGTCAGCCTGTCTGCTAATGGGTGGGGTTGTTCCTGTCTTGCTAGTTGTTTGGCATGGGGCATCCAGCACTGGAGCTTGCTGGCCATTGCGTGGAGCTGGGTCTCACCATTGAGACAGAGATCTCTGGGAGAGCTCTCACCAATTGATATTACATGGTGCAGGGAGGTCTCTGGTGGTCCAATGTCCTAAACTCGGCTCTCCGACCTCAGAAGCTCAGGCCCGACACCTAGCCAGGGCACCAAGACCCTGTCAGCCACACGGCCAGGTACGTGGGGATTTTCTTGTCTTTTGGGAAGTCTGAGGTCTTCTGCCAGCGTTCAGTATGTGTCCTGTAGGAGTTGTTCCACATGTATATGTATTTTTCATGTATTTGTGGAGAGGAAGGGGACCTCCACGTCTTCCTCCTCCACCATCTTGAAGGTCCTCCAATTCACCCATTTAAGTGTATAACTCAACAGTTTTTTAGTACATTCACAGTTATGCAACGATTACCAAAATCAATTTTGGAACATATTCATCCCCCCAAAAGAAAACTCCATACTCATTAGTAATCAATCCCCCATTTCTCCCCAATCCCCCTACCCCTGAAAACCACTACTCTACTTTGTTTCTGTAGATATGCCTCTTCCACACATTTTATATAAATGGACGTGGTCTTTTATGACCGCTTCTTTTACACAGCCTAATGTTTTCAAGGTTCATCCATGTTGTAAAATGTATCAGTTCATCCTTCCTTTTTACGGCCAACTAATATCCCAGTATGTGGCTATACCACATTTTATTTATCTATTCATCAGTTAATGGACATTCAATGGTTGCTTTTAGATATTATCCCTGTGTCTTGCAAATAAGGATCACAAATATTTTACAATGTTTCGTAGCAATATCATCTCTCTTCAGCTGTCTTCCCTTTTAGAATCCTGAGCAAAAGGTTTCAAACCTATCTTTTCTCTAAGTAATTTGAAATTTACTTCTTTAAAATCTAAGGCACATTTCTCCAGCTATCCAAATTCCCCTTCTTTATCCTTTTCCCAAATATGTAAGAATTCCAGAATAAAAATTTCTCCTGAACAGATAATTCAAAAGTTAAACGCTATGCTTTCCATAGAATAAGTCAGGCATATATATATATAAAAGTCTAAAAGCCTTCTGCAATGACTGGATCTTTCTTCTATGATAGTTCTGAGATGCATATCCACATACAGTGGACCTTTGACCAACACAGGTTGGAACAGCACAGGTCCACTTACATGTGGATGTTTTTCACTAAATATGTACTACAGTGCTCCACAATCTGTGGTTGGTTGAATCTGAGGATGTGGAACCAGGTATATGAGCACCAACTGTAAAGTTATATGGGAGTTTTTTGACCACAGAGAAGGTTAGCACCTCTAACCACCACACTGTGCAAGGGTCAACTGTACTTAACTTTCATTTATTCAATAAATATTTTTTTTAAAACTTCCATGTGACAGTTGATTTGGTTATCTGGCATGGACCCAGGAAGATCAGTAACACATTTTTCTCTTAACTTTTAAGTTTACCACAATTCCATCCTCAGGTTAGCAGATTACTGCGTGTACAATGTCATTTCCAAGATACCTTTTTTTTTTGAGATTTTGTTTTTGAATTTTAAACAAGAAATCACACACTAATACTTTTTTTCTGGCACACATCTCACTGCAACAAATCTTGTCAATCCCTAGACAATCCTAATTACTTCAATACATTAAAACTTCAAATTACCTTCATTTCCACAGGCAAAAACTAGGGGGGAAAAAAAGAGATATCCCAAATCCATATCATGGAGTCTGATCTTAGCTGTGATAACTGTGCCTTCTCCTCTGTCTTTCATCTCCCCTTCACTAAGCTTCAGCTTCCTGTCTCTAAATCTTGGATCACATAAATACCCCTTCTTGAAATACACTCTTCCTTCTCTATATTCATCCAGGACCTATCACTCCATTCCTTCAAGTTTTATCTCAAGTGCTACATTAAAGCACTAAACTCAGTTCCGGGCACACACTTCTAGCATACCACAGTAGAAAGAGCAAGGGATTTGGAATTACTCTTCAGTTTGAAACCAAGCTCTGCAATTTACTACATGACCATAGGGAATTTACTTAGCTTTGCTAAGTCTGTTTCCTCATCTATAAAGGGGATAAAATAATTCAGACTACAATAAGTTTCTTGGAAAGATTAAATGAAACAAATTGGAAACTGCCAAGCACAGTTATCAGCAAATAATAAAATATAATATGTGTTAATACTTTTTTCTCCACAAAGCCTTATTTGTCCACCCAAGCTTAGTGATCATTCTGTTCTAAAGCACAAATAATGAACCAGAACTATCTTGAACATGAAACAAAAGGCCTACCTCTCAGATTGTTCAGGCTATCAGCACTAATCAATATGATCATCTAGAAGGTTTAATTTCATCGTATATTGCTTGTTGACTTGCAGATTTAAGCCTATCTCAAAAATAGAAATTGTTCTAAACAGAATCTCCATTTTTGCTTTATCAAAGCAAGAAGTCACTACCAATGAAGACCCTACAAAAAGAAAGCCACAAAAAGAGGCTCTTCCCTTACCTTGTGGGTTATCCATTCTCGTCCATACTGATACACATTGTTAGCCGCGGAATTAAGGGCTCTTTGGACTACCTGAGCCTCAGGAAGCCAACTAATTTAAAATAAAGAGAGAAAAAATGAAAAACTAATACAGTGCACTGCACCAAACTCTTGGAACTTAATTTTTTAAACACCAATTAACTGACATCACACACTTACAAATGTAATAATCTTATAGTATAATAACATGAACAGGAAATTTGGATCTCTAAATAGAGATGTGACTTGGGAGAAATTAAGAGCTTTTAAATTACCCCAGTATTTATAGATTCATTAGTGGTTTGAAGAGACTGTTGAATATTTTCAGTTACATGGTACTACATTTTAGGGGAAATTATAACCTGTATTATTATTCAAAAATGTGAAATTCACAGAGGTATCTGAATAGATCCTTAATGACTAACAAACATCTATTAGGCCTGATAAAAAAAATCTTGCTGGCTGCTGTGAAAACACTTTGCCACTGTATTCATGCAGGTGTCCTAAGAGCAACAGATAAAGAGGAGCTGCTGCGAGGCCAAGACAAAGGCTTTGGCTCAGTCCAGACCTCCTCACAACCAGTACCCTCTAGGAGACATGGGGCCAGAAACAACCTGAGCAACCTTTGCTGGGACAAACTGGGACACACCTTGGTCTTATATCAACCACGGCCTCTAAATTGAGCTTCTTGCTTCAGATATTTACTACATCAGCCAATCACTAACTCTCCTAGCCTCAGTCAAAAGGTATCCCTCAGGTGAAACCAAGCTCCTACAATTAGGACCGGCCTACCCTCATCTTCCTGGGTAAAGATTAATCTCTATCACAGTATGACCTACCAAGAGAACCGCCCCAATTAAAAACAGCTTCATCTACTGGGTTCCTCCCAAGTAAGGGCAGGGCTAAGTGACGTTCAGTACCATTGTAGTGCCATCTCCTAATGCAGGTCCTGAGAATCAGCAGGCTTGAGACTAGTGAGTAGTAAATAGAAAATGAGTTCTAGACTAACAATACTGTCCAGGAAAAGAATTAAGATGTGTTCCAACTTCAACTTCATTTTCTCTGAAGCTCTACTAGGCTGATCCTATCCTAAGTCTTTCTAATTTATACTTCAGCTCACCAAGCACATCCACAGGAAGTCGAGGTACCTATGTAGGGCACACAAAATGTGTACCACACTGGAAGAAAGTATATCTAATCAATTCTTAACTGTATCACCTCCACTAAGAGCACCCACATGAATTTCCCACAAGGTCAACTGCCATCTTCAGGACAAGAATCCACTGAGTACTGAGATTTGCAAGAAACTATTAATTCATGACCACCCCCTGAATCTGCTGCAAAAGAATCAGACCTCCCACAAATTACTGAAGTCTAAATAGCTTTTAAATTCTTTCCTGCATAGAATATTATTCAGCAATAAAAAGGAACTTACTATTGCTACATACAACATCTTCAGTGGACTTCAAGGGAATTATGCTAAGTGAAAAAAGCCAATCTCACAAGGCTGCATACTCTATGATTAGATTTATGTATCATTCATCAAACAACAATATTATAGATATGGAGGACAAAATACTGGTTGCCAAGGGTTAGGAATATGTTGGAGGAGGAGGTAGAGGGTAGGTGTGGCTAAAAGGGGTAGCATGAGGGAGCCTTGTGGTGATGGAACAGTTCTGTATCTTGACATGGTGTCGATAGCTAACAGGAAGCATGATAAAACTGCAGAGAACACATATAATATACACGCACATACACATACACAAGTGCATGTAAAACCAGTGAAATGTCGATTTCCTGGTTTTGTTATTGTATAGTTATACAAGATGACAACAATGGTAGAGAAGGTGGGGCGAAGAGTCCAGGGGACCTCCCTATACATTTCTTTGCAAGTCCCTGTGAACTTTATAATTATTCCCACATTTAAAAACAAAAACAACTGGGCTTCCCTGGTGGCACAGTGGTTGAGAGTCCGCCTGCTGATGCAGGGGACACGGGTTCATGCCCTGGTCCGGGAAGATCCCACATGCCGCGGAGCAGCTGGGCCCGTGAGCCATGGCCGCTGAGTCTGCGCGTCCGGAGCCTGTGCTCCGCAACGGGAGAGGCCACAACAGTGAGAGGCCCGCATACCAAAAAAAAAAAAAAAAAAAAACAACCAACTTTCTGAACTACTCTGATCTGGGGCTCCCCAGTTTGTGTGTGCCTTCAAAACAACAGTAGAGATAGTACTATTACAATTGAAAACCAGTACAGAAGGGCTTTGGACTTATTTCCACTACAGAAGAATGACCACCAAAGAAAAAGAGCCCCCTTCTAAGGAGATAATTAAGGCTGCCAATTTTTTAACTTCACTCCAGATCACTCTCCTGAACTGTAACACCAACATAACCAATAGCCTACTAGATGCCTCTGCTGACACTTACCATAAACACCTCAAACTCATCAGGTAAAAAGTAAGTGAATTAGTTTTCCCACCATATCTGCTTCTCTGTTTCCTATCTTGGTGAATCCACCATCATCCACTAAGTTCCAAAGCTTGAAACATTAGAGTCACGCTAGGTTTCGTTTCCCTATACCCAATTAATCACCAACTAACCCCCTTAAGATCCTACAAATCTGTCTGTCCTGTTCACTCCACAACAACGGTCCACAATTAAGAGCTTTACTGCCTCTCACCTAGTTTTACTCTAGCTTTTAACTGGTCTAAGAGGCTCAAGTCTTGGAACACCTTCCACCTTTTCTCCACAGCACAGAGGGAGACTGTTACAGAATAAAATCTGATCAATGTTACTTTTAATATCCTTCACTAAGACAATGAACATACCTATCACTCTCAAAGGTTTCCCTGCGCCCCTCTGTACTCCCTCCCTGGAACCCACCCCTATCCACACACAGCCACTGATCTATCTGTCACTAGATTAGTGTTTTCTAGAACTTAACATAAATGGACTCATATCATATAGACTCTCTTCTGCTTGACTTCTTTCATTCACCATAATTATTCTGAGATTCATCCATGTTGCCGCATGAACTGACAGTTCATTTTTGTTTAATGCTAAGTATTATTCCCTTGAATGGATATACTACAGTTTGTAACTAATCAGAAATATCGAGAACAAGCACTGAGTATGCTCTGGATAATAGGAGATAAGTGGGTAGAAATATAACAGAAATCCTTCTGAGAATATTTAAATATGATTCTAAACCAAGTTCAAGGAATGTCCTAAGCAGGTTTTATATAAAGAAATAAAGTCAAGTCAAAGGAAAAAACCAAGTAAAATCTCAATTTATAATCTTAAAACTGGCAGAGTATTTCCTAAAATAAATTAGTGACCACCCTGGCGTTAGTAAAAAAGGTCATGTAATTTGTCATCAAGTTCAATTAGGTGAACAGCATAGTCCAGCTGAACACTCTCCACAAAGACATAAAAACCCTCTCACAGAAGCCAAATTAAACAAGTACACAAAGAGATCCTCTAAGACAGGGGTTAGCAGATTTCTTCTGTAAAGGGCCAGAATGTAAATAAATATTTTAGGCTTTTCGGAACATATAATCTGTATCACAACTACTCAATTCTGTCTGCCTTTGTAGCCCCAAAACAGCTACAGACAACATGTAAATGAATGGGTATAGGTTGTTCCAATAAATCTCTATAAGAACAGGTGGCTGGATTTGGCCCTGAGCCACAGTTTGCAACCCTGCCGCAAAAACGATACAATATGGGAACACTGCTGACTGTGCCATGGGGGACTGTCACAAATTCCTTAGCCTTTGATCCTGCATCCTCATCTGTGAAATGGGGATAATCTCTTCAACCTACTGAGGAACACATAACACAATGTAGGTGAAAGCTTAGTAAGTCACAAACACGTGGAAAACTGTGAATCTCAATTCAAATATACAAACTCCCCCCTCCCCACCATCCCATTACATGCTATTCTTATGCAAAAATGACAACATTCATCAAAGCCTTGGCAAATTCTTTTCTCTTCCAAGGTAACTGTATCAATGATGATCATTTCATGCAAACAGACATAGAACCTTGGCCAACCATCTCTATTTTTGTCAAAACAACATTCTTACTTTGCCCACTCAGGGTGATTTGCTAGAGTTTCATTAATCAAATTGCTTGTGACTTCAATCATGTGTACACTCTCTTGATGTACCTGTATTATGGATAAGAAGAGAAAAGAATCTCAATAAAAATTAAACCCAATTTAACATTTATTTTCTACACTATTATTGGAACAATGCTTTTAGAGTCAAGTAATTATACATCTTAGTTTCAATTAACTTAGAGACCTCCACTGAACAGCCACTATCCATAATGTCCTAGGACACAAACTATGGGAAATAAATTGTGCAGAACAGCTCCCTGTCTTCAAGCTCAACGATGGGGGGAGAAATGTAAATAGACACAAATACTTCCAAATATATACAACATAAATAGATAGATATATTTAGTTCACATAAGTGTATGTGTGTATAGTGTATGTATGTGTGTGTGTGTATATATATATGCCATATCAACACTACATGGGCTTTACAATTATAAGGCAATGTGAGACATACAGGGAAATAATCAACCGAGTAAGGTTTGTGAGTAAAGTAACCCAAGTGAAAATGAATCTCAGAATTTATCCCCCTCAAAATGAGGGGGATAAAAAAGGAGAAGCCAATGTCAAGGAACATGTTCTATATGATTTTACTATTTTTAAAACTATTAAATGGAGATTGGTTCAAGATGGCAGAGTAGAAGGACGTGCACTCACTCCCTCTTGTGAGAGCACTGGAATCACAGCTAACTCTTGAACAATCATTGACAGGAAGACAATGGAACTCACCAAAAAAAATACCCCACATCCAAAGACAAAGGAGAAGCCGCAATGAGATGGTAGGAGGGGCAGAATCACAATAAAATCAAATCCCATAACCACTGGGTGGGTGACTCACAAACTGGAGAACAATTATACCACAGAAGTCCACCCACCAGAGTGAAGTTTCTTCACCCCATGTCAAGATTCCCAACCTGAGGGTCCAGCAACGGAAGGAGGAATTCCCAGAGAACGAGACTTTGAAGGCTAGCAGGATTTGATTGCAGGATTTGGAAAGGACTGGGGGAAACAGAGACTCCACTCTTGGAGGGTACACACAAAGTCGTGTGCTCATCAGGATCCAGGGGAAAGCACAGTGACCCCATAGAAGACTGAACCAGACCTATCTGCTAGTGTTGGAGGGTCTCCTGCAGAGGCAGGGGGCGGCTGTGGCTCACTAAGGGGACAAGGACACTGGTAGCAGAAGCTCTGGGAAGTACTCCTTGGTGTGAGCCCTCCCAGAGTCTGCCATTGGCCCCACCAAAGAGCCTGGTAGGCTCCAGTGCTGGGTCGCCTCAGGCCAAACAACCAACAGGGAGGGAACCCAACCCCACCCATGAGCAGACAATCAGATTAAAGTTTTACTCAGCTCTGCCTGCCAGCGCAACACCCAGCTCTACCCACCACCACTCCCTCCCATCATGAAGCTTGCACAAGCCTCTTAGATAACCTCATCCACCAGAGGGCAGACAGCAGAAGCAAGAACTACAATCCTGCAGCCTGTGGAACGAAAACCACAATCACAGTAAGATAGACAAAATGAAAAGGCAGAGGACTATGTACCAGATGAAGGAACAAGATAAAACCCCAGAAAAACAACTAAATGAAGTGGAGATAGGCAACCTTCCAGAAAAAGAACACAGAATAATGATAGTGAAGATGATTCAGGACCTTGGAAACAGACGGAGGCAAAGATCGAGAAGATGCAAGAAACGTTTAACAAGGACCTAGAAGAATTAAAGAACAAACAGAGATGAACAATACAATAACTGAAATGAAAAATACACTAGAAAGAATCAATAGCAGAATAACTGAGGCAGAAGAATGGACCTGGAAGACAGAATGGTGGAATTCACTGCCATGGAACAGAATAAAGAAAAAAGAAAGAAAACAAATGAAGACAGCCTAAGAGACCTCTGGGACAACACTAAACGCAACAACGTTCGCATTATAGGGGTCCCAGAAGGACAAGAGAGAGAGAAAGGTCCAGAGAAAATATCTGAAGAGACTATAGTTGAAAACTTCCCTAACATGGGAAAGGAAATAGCCACCCAAGTCCAGGAAGTGCAGAGAGTCCCAGGCAGGATAAACCCAAGGAGAAACACGCTGAGACACAGAGTAATCAAATTGACAAAAATTAAATACAAAGAAAAATTATTAAAAGCAACAAGGGAAAAATGACAAATAACATACAAGGGAACTCCCATATGCTTATCAGCTGATTTCTCAGCAGAAACTCTACAAGCCAGAAGGGAGTGGCACAATATACTTAGGGTGATGAAAGGGAAGAACCTACAACCAAGATTACTCTACCTAGCAAGGATCTCATTCAGATTTGACGGACAAATCAAAAGCTTTACAGACAAGCAAAAGCTAAGAGAATTCAGCACCACCAACCCAGCTTTACAACAAATGCTAAAGGAACTGCTCTTAGTGGGAAACACAAGAAAAGAAAATGACCTACAAAAACAAACCCAAAACAATTAAGAAAATGGTAATAGGAACATACATATCAATAATTACCTTAAATGTAAATGGATTAAATGCTTCAACCAAAAGACACAGGCTTGCTGAATGGATACAAAAACAAGACCCATATACATGCTGTCTACAAGAGACCCACTTCAGACCTAGGGACACATACAGACTGAAAGTGAGGGGATGGAAGAAGATATTCCATGCAAATGGAAATCAGAAGAAAGCTGGAGTAGCAATACTCATGTCAGATAAAATAGACATTAAAATAAAGAATGTTACAAGAGATAAGGAAGGAAACTGCATAATGGTCAAAGGACCAATCCAAGAAGAAGATAAAACAATTATAAATATATCTGCACCCAACATAGGAGCACCTCAGTACATAAGGCAAATGCTAACAGCTATAAAAGAGGAAATCAACAGTAACACAGTAATAGTGGGGGACTTTAACACCTCACTTACACCAATGGACAGATCATCCAAACAGAAAATTAATAAGGAAACACAAGCTTTAAATGACACAACAGATCAGACAGATTTAATTGATATTTATAGGACATGCCATCTGAAAACAGCAGATTACACTTTTTTCTCAACTGCACATGGAACATTCTCCAGGATAGATCATATCTTGGGCCACAAATCAAGCCTCGGTAAATTTAAGACAATTGAAATCATAACAAGCAACTTTTCGACCACAATGCTATGAGATTAGAAATCAATTACAGGGATAAAAACGTAAAAAACACAAACACGCGGAGGCTAAACAATACGTTACTAGATAACCAAGAGATCGCTGAAGAAATCAAAGAGGAAATCAAAACATACCTAGAAACAAATGACAATGAAAACAGGATGATCCAAAATTTATGGGATGCAGCAAAAGCAGTTCTAAGAGGGAAATTTATAGCAATACAATCATACCTCAAGAAACAAGAAAAATTTCAAATAAACAATCTAACCTTACATCTAGAAGAACTAGAGAAAGAAGAACAAACAAAACCCAAAGTTAGCAGAAGGAAAGAAATCATAAAGATCAGAGCAGAAATAAATGAAATAGAAACAAAGAAAACAATAGCAAAGATCAATAAAACTAAAAGCTAGTTCTTTGAAAACAAAATTGATAAAACTTTAGCCAGACTCATCAAGAAAAAGAGGGAGAGGACTCAAATCAATAAAATTAGAAATGAAAAAGGAGAAGTTACAATGGACACCACAGAAATAAAAAGCATCATTAAGAGACTTCTATAAGCAACTCTATGCCAATAAAATGGAAAACCTGGAAGAAATGAATAAATTCTGAGAAAGGTATAACCTTCCAAGACTGAAGTAGGAAATAACAGAAAATATGAACAGACCAATCACAAGTAATGAAATTGAAATTGTGATTAAAAATCTTCCAACAAACAAAAGCCCAGGACCAGATGGCTTCACAGGTGAATTCTATCAATTAGAGAAGAGCTAACACCCATCCTTCTCAAACTCTTCCAAAAATTGCAGAGGAAGGAACACTCCCAAACTCATTCTATGAGGCCACCATCACCCTGATACCAAAACCAGACAAAGATACTATAAAAAAAAAAAAAAAGAAAATTACAGACCACTATCACTGATGAATATAGATGCAAGAATCCTCAACAAAATACTAGCAAACAGAATCGAACAACGCATTAAAACGATCATACACCATGATCAAGTAGGATTTATCCCAGGGATGCAAGGATTCTTCAATATATGCAAGTCAATCAATGTGGTACACCATATTATCAAATTGAAGGATAAAGACCTTCAATCATCTCAATAGATGCAGAAAAAGCTTTTGACAAAATTCAATACACATTTATAATAAAAACTCACCAGAAAGTGGGCATAGAGGGAACCTACCTCAACATAACAAAGGCCATATATGACAAACCCACAGTAAACATCACTCTCAATGATGAAAAATGGAAATCATTTCCTCTAAGATCAGGAACAAGACAAGGATGTCCACTCTCACCACTATTATTTAACGTAGTTCTGGAAGTCCTAGCCACAGCAATCAGAGAAGAAAAAGAAATAAAAGGAATACAAATTGGAAGAGTAAAACTGTCACTGTTTGCAGATAACATGATACTATACAAAAAGAATCCTAAAGATGCTACCAGAAAACTACTAGAGCTAATCAATGAATTTGGTAAAGTTGCAGGATATAAAATTAATACACAGAAATCTCTTGCATTCCTATACACTAACAATGAAAGATCAGAGAGAAATTAAGGAAACAATCCAATTCACCATCACAACAAAAAGAATAAAATACCTAAGAATAAACCTACCTAAGGAAGTAAAAGACCTGTACTCAGAAAACTATAAGACACTGATGAAAGAAATCAAAGATGATACAAACAGATGGAGAGATATACCATGTTCTTGGATTAGAAGAAGCAACACTGTGAAAATGACTCTACTACCCAAAGCAATCTACAGATTCAATGCAATCCCTATCAAATTACCAATGGCATGTTTTAGAGAACTAGAACAAAAAAATCTTAAAATTTGTATGGAGACATAAATGACCCTGAATAGCCAAAGCAATCTAGAGAAAGAAACAC